AAAAATCTCGCAGGCTTGTAAACCACAAAGATCTTAAAAACCATGAAAGCCTTTTTAARGAAAGAAGCGGCAAAATRGACCAAAAATGAAGCTTAAACCAGGTAGACACAATTCTAACGCCCCCACAGCCGACTGCGTACCCGGTCTAGAGCTAGAAATGTATGTCTTCATGTTTCGTAACTTTTTCATTTACAAAGGCAATATAATTCTCMTTGGTCAATACTAAAACCGGGACAGTACATATATCTGATTAGCTGACCAGATGAATTTAATAATTTACATTTATGATATTCCACGACTTCCATGTTTTCATTTCCTCCTAAATGCGTAAGTTTCCGGTCCGATCAAATTGTTCGGATGGCTGAGGCCATGTATTTCTTGGTCACTGCTGAGAAGGTCACTAGATAGTTGGGAAAACATATYTATAAAGGTCGTTTTTATGGCTTGGTTTATGTCTTATAAATACTTTAAAAGGCCAAAAGCGTTTTTCATGAAAAAGGTTAACGCAGAGCTATTTTCAGTTTTGGAGTCAGGTATTGCGAAATATAGCCGCGCGCGCTAATGAAACCCATCAGATTTTCAACTGTTTTTTTTTTTATTTTTTTTAAAGTTCATTTCTGAAATTTCATTTTAATAACTGAAAAAAGAGAGATGAGCAAAATATGCCAAACACAAGGATTTTGATGATTAGGATGGGAAACGTTCGGAGTATCGTTGTTACTGTATCTCGTGATGTACGTAGACGTTTGAGCAGGAAATGTCTGATAGTATTCAACGAAGGCTAAATCCGATCAATATTCCTGTAGAGCTTCAAACCCGTGATGATTGTAGTGAAATACCAATAGTAGTTGAAAATCCGACCATGGAGCACATAATGATKGTGATGAGTGTTGATKATGAAATCCTCACTTGGCATGCAAATTACTCATCAACATTTCGCATGTGAAACAAGAATGWATTGTCAATGCATGACAAAYATTATTACAGGATATTTTCATCGATTTTCATTGTTCTAAAACAGAAGCGAAGGTAGATATCAACACTCTCTGTAAAACTTTTTGTCTCTTGATAGAAAACATTACTGTTTCACGTTCGCACAATGGTTTTCTCTGACTGTCCGGACAAAAACCCTGTCTCTCATCAAGAAAGARCATCAATTGTATCATAGTTACTAACACGATTGTATGAAAGTATGAGGTCTTCTGCAATAGAATAGAATAACAAGAGCTTTAATACATGTCATTGTTTCATTGAGCCTTGAAAGGACTCCAAAAAATGACTATTTGATTGCAATTGGCTAATTATCTAATTTTATTGGGCGAAGCAGTAAAGCGGTGTGCATCGTCAATCAAGCGATGACATGCGTTGCAAAAGTAGAGGCAGATCTGATGAAAAGTCTATCAGCCACAAAAACACAAAGAACTCAAAAACGACTCATCACTATACATTGCAGATAAATGTTTGCCGGCCATATTTCTAGATTGTTGCTGGTGCATACCACACCACATATCTACAACATGCAATCAGAGTTAGTAACTCTGATGCAATGCCGTTTGTCTTTTGTTTAGTTCAATGCTGTGTATTTTCAAGCTCAAATTGCCTTATTTTATATTGTGGGCTTCTTTGCTAAGTAACATTGCAAGCAGGATTTCAAAACTCGCGAAATTTTCTCGAGTCCGAGGCGCAGCCGAGAGAGAAATGGCGCAAAGAAATTTGCACATACAACCAGTGTTTGCTGTGAAACAGGATGCGATGGGAAGAGGCCTGAAGGCGGTACTATATTAACCTCTATAGCCACTGTTAACTACAAACCACTTTGATTGTTTCTATATTGGTCGCGTCATATATAGGATGTTTGTGGTTTAACAAAGGTCAGATGATGTTTTTTGGTCAATGAAAATATCAAAAATATTGCTATTAATACATTGGTGTATCCTAGTGACACTTATTTTAGAAAATGAAAAGTTGTTATATCTTTATAACGCCTGTAAGTACCCAGGTAGTACTGACTGGTTTGAGAGAATTACACTTCGTGTTCCTGGCTCTGATGTAAAACGTACAGTTCTCACAATAATAGAAGAAACATCCATGTAGTTATAAAACTGTTTAATAAAATACAACTTGTATTATCGCTTAGTATTTTAGAAGTTTGCACTGAGTTCATAGCAAAGTCACTGTTATGCGGCTCTGTTTTGTCATTTTCCACACAAAAAATTATATTAATTCAGATATACAAAACAATGTTGTTTACTACTTTGAAACGGCATTGATATGTGTAATTGCCCGCATCTAATTAGGTCAGGAATTCGCCATCCACCTCCGCATCGAAACAGCTTTGGAATTTCTGTAAAAATCTAGAGTACCTCCTTCTTTGATTGCTAGTAATCTCAGTTGATGTTGCTGTGCGTTCAATTTACTAAGAGAATAATTAGGCAAAGAACAATAACTCATCAAATGAACAAGTCGTCGTAGTAAGGTACTGGGGAATATATCTCAAGGTTACAGTAAAGGTACCAGGGACTCCCTTAAAGCGATGATTGTATTGTCACAACTAATATTGACGCTTTTAACACAAGTCGTTAACGATGATAGGATTGAATGACTATATGGAGATATCACAGGATCCTGCTAAACAAGTTCTCGGGTTGTAAGAGACAACCAAAAGTGACATCTTGTCCACTTAGAGAAAGGGCTACAATAGTATGGTTCTCTTATTAATGCATGAATGGTTATATTTTACACCGTGACTCCATTAATTTGCACCATCTCATCTGAATTGAGCGCATGTGAGATGCGCTGTTTGAAAAAGAGCCTTCGAGGTAAAACTACCAAACATGGCGGACACATCCGAACTTTTATACTGAAAAAAGAAACTTTCAAGTATCATAATACTGAAGTGACGAGCTTACATTGAAACGACGCTTTATTCTTGTACTATGATTCACTTGAAGTGCTGAGTTCTAGTTCAGAAACTAGAAGTGGAATTCCATAGCTATTCAGAATACGTTAATCACATAATATTTCCTAACTTACACACCTTATAAGTTGCTATGAAACTATCAGCAATTAAACGATGCCACTATCTTTACTCATTGCTCCACTTTGTGTTACTAATATACTTCTTAATAGTTTTAGTCTAAAAAGTCCTGTTGAATCGGATATACAGGTTGACAATGACGCCAGGACCGTCAAATTCAAAGTAGACCTCGTAAAATTTATACTGCTCTTTATCGGCGCAAAAAAGAAAGAAAAAGAAAAAAGAAAAAAAAAGAAAAAAGAAAAGAAAAGCATCTTTCCTGATTCTTTGTTGACATAAGGACTGAAAAACAAGAAATGCCGTTCGTAATAACTGTAAATAAAGTCGGTACGCCATTGTAAATCCATCCTAGTTCTCACGATAGGCYGAGGAAGAAAGGAAGTCRACACATGCACAGGAAGTTAGCGGTAGTTTATTGGTTGGTTGAGTGGTCGAGTTGGTTAAATGTGTTTCTATTCAGCCATTCATCTCTTATTAACAAGTCATTTGAAGTTCACTCCAAAACAGATATTGAAGTCATACGGCCACAAACTGAAACCAACAATTCACACAACACTAAATCTGCTTAAAATAATGAGTGACAGGTTCATTCATGATCCACAAAACGTAACATGATTGGATAATTTGCTTTGTGCTTGGAATATATATAGTTACATGTCCATTATTCCTCTCATAGGAAAACAGAAAGAACACAATGGAGGACTTCGTGTTGGCGACCATCGTCATGATGGCASTATTCCTATTATCAGGTTGGTCATATAGTATTTCTTTGATGTACAGCATGGTTAATGCAACAAATTCCGTCCGGTAGCAAATGTATATTTATATCAATATGAAGGATCTCTGGTGTTTCAAAGTTAAACATTTTATTTGTTATTAATAAGCTGCAGCCTATTTATAATTTCAAAGACTTTGATTTCTAATCATATTAAGCGAGAAAAATTATAGAGAAAAAAAAACAACACATGAAATTATCCATGCTGATATAATGATACATTATTAGCGGTCAGAATTTATTTGATTAAAAAAAAGTAACATTTAATGCAGTTTATACAAATATTACAAGTATCGGGAGTAAGTACCGGCTTGCATTGCGGCCGTTTAATTTCCCAGTCTTCTTCGGATTTTCTTTGAAGGAGCCGGAGCAAGTGTAAACATCGTAAATGATTGGCTAATTTCATGATTGACGGATAAACAAAAAACATCCATTATACTTAAATTTGATGGTTGTGATCTGTCAAACAGAATTACTTCTGATGTGAAAAAGTTGCAGCCTTGTAGTCGAAGATTTAACAGATTTAAGTGTTTTATTTTGAAGAGTGTTTCAATGGGCAAAAATCAAAGCCATCGATTAGGTGTCAAAAACGAGAAAAATTTCAAACCACAACTTCCGCCTCCGTTTACTGTGGTTTCTGCGGTACACACAGCCAGCGGTTAACTTCTTAGTRCGGTTAGCGTTTATGTGGGTTATCAAAGACGACTCACGGATTGCACTCGTCTATTGATTGTTAATAGAAAAACTAACACATAAAGAGTGCACAGGCCAAATCTCAAGTAGATAATGAGGGCGTAAGGAATGAATGATCAACCTTGCTTGCCATCCGCATACTCGGCAACGAGTCGGCTGTTAACAGAGGGATACCTTGGAATCCCCTCATGGCACGGAATCCTGCACTACATTGCATTCCAAATTGATGGGTTCGATTATACTGCCATTTTAGCGAGGCATTCCGGATTCCATCACAGTGGATTCCGCATATTCCACTCTTTCAGTATCAGAAAAGAATTTTATTGACTCAGATTACGGATTCCAGAGCTTCATTTTCCCGGATTTGAGTTGTTAATACTAGCTAATGATATCAAGTTCAAAATGAAAAAAAAGTCCGTCTAATTGCTTTATCAATTTTTAATTGCACATTTGAAATCGCATCGTGTCCGGACATTAGTTAGNAAGTGGTACGTTAAAAAGTGGTACGTTAAAAAGTGGTACGTTAAAAAGTGGTACGTTAAAAAGTGGTACGTTAAAAAGTGGTACTTTAAAAAGTGGTACGTTAAAAAGTGGTACGTTAAAAAGTGGTACGTTTTAAGCAAAGCTTATGGAGAGATTGTTATAGTAGGAACCTGACATTTCTTTTAAACTGGTCATGTCGACAGAGATACGATTTTGTGATTTCCCGGGAAACATAGAATGTCAGCAAAACCGAATACCGCGTTATTAATGAATCATGTTTGTCTAGGTCAGCGGTGTTTCGTCCAAGGCAAATGGTATCCTGCCAACTCGAGTTTTGTCACATCAGATTGTAAAATGCAATGCTATTGTATGAGTAATGGTGCTACAAGCTGTATGGACTTATGTAGTCCACTACCTCAAGGCAAATGTCCTGTAGGTATGGCAATACGCCATGACAAAGAGCCCGCTGGTCCAAGAGGAAGTAAATGTTCCTGTCTTAGAAGCTACTGTGCGCCAGGTTAGTTACTTTAACGAGTGTTAAACGTCAGTGGTCAGTGGAGATCYCGAATTGCRGATAAACTTACCCCACGAGTATATTATGTACTGATRAACATTGTTTCTCCTATCTCATGTCCATGGTGACTTCGGATTGGGATTGGGGTMGAACCAGGAAACACAAACGCTATCAAAAACTGACGAAGGATGAATTCCTAACAAACTTTTTTAGCACTGCAAATATGTATAWAAMTYAAAACGTGTACTAAAATCCATGTATTTAAAAATTTCCAGAGTACTGCTATACAAAAACGTTTGAAAAATATAAAATTGGAGAATCTTTCAAGCGAGGGAACTGTTCAGACATATGTACTTGTACCACCGAGGGAAGGTTTAAGTGTAGTCCTGTATGTCCCAAGATACAATGCCCGCCTGGGTTTAAGCGAAAAAACAGTAAAAAGAAAATCAAGCAATTAGCTGATGGCTGCGCATGCCCAAAGCAAAGATGCATTCCAAGTAAGAACATTATGTCATTTTATCCAAAATCCTGCAAAGGTAAAGACTTACAATCATTGTAACTTTCCACAGAAAGACGACGAGCTTGTAAATACAACGGTCGAATATACACAACAAAGCGTTACTTCGAAACCAAGAACTGTCAATCAAAATGTCGTTGTAAACGAACTGGTTTAATTAAGTGCGGACCGCTGTGTCCAGCCCTCATAGCTCCAAAATGTAATGCAAACGAAAAAGTCATGAAGATACATGTACCACCATTAGACATTACAAAAGGAAGATGTCAATGCATAAAATATGTTTGCGCACCGCTGACAGGTAAATCAATCAATCAATCAATCAATCAATCAATCAATCAATCAACCGATCGATCGATCGATCGATCGATCAATCGATCAATCAATCAATGAATCAATCAATCATTCAATCTATCAATCAATCCATCCATCCATCAATCTATCTATCAATCATGCAATCTTTACTTCTTTTCTTGTAGCTGCACGAAATAAATCGAGATTACCAAAGATAAAAAAAAATCGACAATGTCGCATTGGAAATAAGACGTTATCCCCAGGCCAGGTGTCCATCATTGAAGACTGCACTGATCGATGTCGCTGTACAACATTCGGGCATTTAGTATGCGTGCCATTGTGTAATAGTCTTCCTGTCATGTGTTCATCAGATGAAGATCGATTATTGGTCAAAAGACCTGTGCGTGGAAGTCAGTGTTCGTGTACAAGCGTGACTTGTAGACCTAAAAAAACCTTAGGTAAGACAAACTCTTCCATTTATATACAACAAACCTGGACGAAATGAATGTTATACCGAATATATTCATATTCCTAGTTGATATTCAACATCGAATAGAATAAGATAGTAAGATTTTTTTTGTTTTTTTTTACAAAAACATCAGGCTAGTAACCTTGGCAACAACATCCGGCTAGTAACCTTGACAACAACATCCGGCTAGTAACCTTGACAACATATCCCACAATGCTTTGTTTTACTTTTAAGATACGCAACAAAAAGAATGTAATGTCGATGGTCACGTGTTCAGTCAAGATATTGAATACATCGATAACAATTGTACCAAGAGATGTTTATGCAGYAAGAATGGACAAGCTGTGTGTCGATCAKTGTGTCCTGCTGTCAACAGTCCCGCTTATTGCCATAGTAACAGCTACCCACAATACAACAAAGTACGAGTCAAGAATGCGCCGTGGTGTTCGTGTGTAGTCAAAACATGCGCAGTCTATCATGGTAAGATAGTGTATTTGACCATCTCGTACGGCGCGCAATAACATAACCACAAGAACCTATCAATCAAGCAATAATAATTAAGTAATCATTTGACCATTCAACTAATTAGAAAACAATTCTATTTATTGCACTAATAAACCTATCAAGATAACCAATTATCAAATCCCGGCACTGCTAGCCACCAACATGAACCCATCCAAATTGCCTCACAAACAAACCACAGAAAACCAACCAAGTTATCACATGCACAATGAGTCGATGAACTAGTAACTAACATACCCACCAACTTACCTGCTAACAGCTATCCATTTCATGCACAAACCCATATCTAGTTCAATCAAAGTTATTAAAACATATTTGTATTTTATTCAGATAACCGATCAGTGAACGAACAATAGCCAACAATAATACAGTGCAAAACTATAACAAGAAAATGTATGACAGTCCACTCATATAACATCACGAGTATCGCTTATACTATGTTGGGAGTCGARTGAAGTTCTTCACTCAAATGGCGGATTTGAAGTTTATTCGGCCAAGGCAGAACTACATGGAAAACTAAATGGATAGAAGTGTGTTTTTTTAATATCTATATTTCTAAGTTTTAGCATCTACCATAGTCTACGAAGAGAGGTACAAAACCCGTGAAATGAATGTTAATTTCAAGGTTCTACTTTATATGCGAACCATGTAGATGGAAAATGAAATATTAGGATATTTAATCATTCTATTTCACGTGTTTAAGACTTCACCCATAAGACTAAGATTGCTCTCATTAGATTTAGTGCACAGTTTAGGTAACATGAAAGATCGCGTCACAACAGTCAATTGATCTCGAAAACAACATCAAAGGTCTATTCACTCAACATTTTAGTCAGTTATCACCATCTATAATATAATACCAGGAAGTCAGAGGTTTCTAAAAACATCTCTGACACCAAAAAGACATTAGATCGAGCTAAGCAACTGTAGCCTGTTTAATATATGCAAAGAAGGTTCTGAATACAGAACTACTTTATATTTATAAACATCAATTATAACAACTCCACACTATAGTCCTACACCAAACACTTTTGCCTGGAACTTACTAACAAGACTCGAACAAAGAATGGGATTTTTTGTACTATACCATAGAACACAAAAAAAACGTTTTCGTACCGTATTTGATACTATGGAATAAAATGCAAAAACGGCACAAAAACGCATGGGAATAGAAAACGATATTTCCCAAGTTCCATTGCAGTCTGAGTTTACTGTTCTTTCTTGTTTCAGCCCCTTTGAGCKGGTCTCTAGCGACGCWGCAACATCAACGGGAAAGCAGTTTCTTCGTGATCCTAATGAGTTTAAAACATTATAATTCTATATAGTTATGTGGCACCATAGTGAGAATTCTTTAGAAATGACCCCCTCGATGATGACCAATCCTCCCTGTATCAACCATATATTTATTAACGCATTTTGAAGTCATCACGATATGTTTGATCGTTTCCTCACGTGGTTATATGGGTCGATATGCCGTTACGCCTCTGTGTCAATTAACCAGTCTTCACAGAGCATCCTCGTAAATACAGGTCATTATTGTCCTGGCTGTTCCTACTGTTATAAATATGGTAATTGTTCAAATAAATTATTATACATCGTTATTCCAGTGTCGTGTGATTCTATTTTTGGGATATAAACTCCTCTTACAACCGTTATTTGCATCGTTCAGATGTCTTTCCTTACTCCTTTCGGTCTACAACTGAAGGATTGAGGTTGCYCCTGAAGATGACGATTGAGGTTGCCCCTGAAGACTACAATTGAGATTGCCCCTGAAGATTTTTAAGGCCATAAAAAGAAAGT